AGAAAAATTTAATTCCAGTATAGTTAACATACAGCATTATATTAGTTGCTGGTGTACAATGGAGTGGTTCAACACTTCCATGCATTACTCAGTGCTTACCGTCATAAGCATATTTTCAATCCCCTTCACCTATTTTAGGCACCCCACCCACACACCTCCCCTCTGGTAACTATCAGTTTGTTCTCTATAGTTAAGAGTCTGTTTTTTGTTTTATCCCTTTTTTTTTCTTTTGCTTGTTTGTTTTGTTTCTTAAATTCCACATATAAGTAAAATCATAAGGTATTTGACTTTCTCTGATTGACCTACTTCATTTAACATTATACTCTTTAGATCCATCCATGTTGTTACAAATGGCAAGATTTCATTCTTTGTTTATGGCTGAGTGATATTCTACTGTGTGTGTGTATCACATCCTCTCTATCCATTCATCTGCGGATAGACACTTGAGCTGTTTCCATTTTTCAGCAATTGTAAATGATGCCACAACAAACACGGGTACATACATTTTTTTTGAAAGATTTTATTTACTTATTTGACACATAGAGAGAGATCACAAGTAGGCAGAGAGGCAGGCAGAGAGAGTGAGGGGGAAGCAGGCTCTCCACTGAGCAGAGAGCCCGATGCGGGGCTCCATCCCAGGACCCTGAGATCATGACCTGAGCCGAAGGCAGATGCTCAACCAATTGAGCCACCCACGCACCCCTATTATATCTTTTTGATTAGTGTTTTTGTATTCTTTGTGTAAATACCCAGTAGTGAAATTACTGGATCATATGGTAATTCTATTTTTCTTTCTTTTCTTTTCCTTTTTTTTTTTTTGAGGCAGATAAAGGTTTGTTTTATTGAATAACTGATCTGTGTAATTGCTGAGGCCACTATATACAGCCTGGTCATCCAGAAGCTTCTTGTGCACCTTCTCTGCCTCAGCTCATGGATGTGTTTGATGAAAATACGCTTGTTTTTGAACAGGTTACCCTTCACTTTCAGGTATAGGCTGTGATACAGTTGGCCGTCAGTCTTCTTAGATTCAAGCTGTTACCTGAGCAGGTGCACAGAATTCTCATCCTCCTCATCCAGGTCACCTTCTCAGACATTTGAGCCTTGGCAGTACCTTTTCTCTTACTGATGCCCATATGCCTGCCTTCCATCAGACCAAAGTGTTTTTCCAGCACTTGAGTCTGGGAATGGATAGTTACAGGCTTCTGGATGATCAGCCCATCTTTGATCAGTTTCCGGATCTACTGATGGGAATTGACATTGGTAATTTCATTGGGGTCCAATCAGACCTTCTTTTTTGCCACACTGGAGGACACTGGAGGCAAGCCTCTTAAACCTGAGAATGCTTATGGCTATAGGCACATCAGTAAAAGGAAAGTATTTTTAACTTTTTGAGGAGCCTGCATACTGTTTCGCATAGTGGCTGTACCAGTTTGCATTCCTAACAACTGTGCAAGAGTGTTCCTTTTTCTCCACATCTTTGCTCAGACTTGTTTTTTCCTGTATTTTTGATTTTAGCTATTCTGATAGGTATGAGGTGATATCTTATTGTGGTTTTGATTTGTACTTCCCTAATGATGAGTGATGATAAACATCTTTTCATGTATATGTTGGCTATCTATACTTCTTTGGAGAAATATCGGTTTATGTCTTCTCATTTTTAAGTTGGGTTATTTGTTTTTTGGGTGTTGAGTTGTATTGTTTCTTTTTATATTTTGGATCCTAACCATTATCAGATATGTCATTTGCAAATATCTTCTCACATTCTGTAGGTTGTCTTTTAGTTTTGTTGATTGTTTCCTTTCCTATGCAGAAGCTTTTTATTTTGATGCAGTCCCAGTTGTTTATTTTTGCTTTTGTTTTCCTGGCCCAAACTGAGGAAGTTTTGCTGTTAGACAATACTTGGTTGGCAGAAGGATGGAAAGGGGTTTAATGGATAACAAAGTAGTTTGGTATTTGAGCAATAAGACAATCCAAAAGGCCAAGTGTTATTTTAGGCCATACAGGAAAAGAAATGACTCAAAATTTGAAGAAGGGGGGAGAGAAAAGTACTAGTAGCCTACTTTATCTTAGGAGGTTAAGAGAGTTTGTCTGCAGTATATCTCCGTGGATACAAGCTGGTCACTGCTTCTATTTTGTGAGAGATCTGCTTCCTTTTTCTATATCTGAGAGGAGAAATAGTAACTAGCTCCAATTACAAACTTTCTCTTGCTTGGGGGCATCAAAGGGTTTTTTTTTTTTTTTTTCTAATGGACTCATTATAAATTAGCAAGAATATAGAAATTCTCCTAATAGTGCATGATGTATGAACTGTAGGACATCTCACACTTTTGTGCTCTCCCTTGTTTTAACTTATATAAATTGTCTCAGGAAGAAAATTGCCTGCATCTTACCATATCACATGCTTCCTAAAGACAGTTTATTAAATAATTCTGTTCAGAGATGAAAAAAGCATGGTGATATCTAAATGACCAAGATAACTCTGGCTTGCTTCACAGGATTGGGGTCATTTTCCAAACCCATCAACTAAATGTAGTATCCTCCTTACATGAAGATGAGCACCAATCTAACATCAGCTAAATTTGAATTTTTGAGGATTTTTCAATAGAAGAAGCACAAAAAGAAAGTTATTACTTGTGTCTGGATAGAACACAATATGAGAGAAATTATTGCATTGGGAATAATTCCATCTCTGCAGAAGGATGGACTAAAACCTTATTAGGGCTATTTTCCTTCTGAAGTTTAGAATGCTTTTATTGCTGGAGATCATTTTTACAATGAGTGCCAATATGTCTCTGAAAGTTTTAAACAGTAAAATGTGCAGCCACTGAAGTTTTACTGTATAGAATCTAAAGGAATGTGTAAAAGGCAGACCTGAGGGAGGTATTGGGTTAATTTTAAAGTTAGACTGATCTTAAGGAAGAAATATTTTGATGCTGTTAATATGCATAATATGTGTGTTACTCATCAGGTAATTACTTCTTGAACTGCTTTCCAGTGTGCATTTGAGTAACAATTAAATACTTGACAAATGAAATAAGCAGACACAAGTTATATATTAACTATTCCAGTGACTTGTATCACCTGCCAAGGAATAAATCTGTGGGATAATAAATTGGTAGATACTTTAGATTGGGTGGTCAAGGACATTTAAACTGACATTTAAATGATAAGGAGCAGTCAACTATTTAGAAATGTAGGGTGACATTTCTAGGTAAGGTAAGGGCAACCTCAAAGTGGGAATGAACTTGACCTGTTAGAGGACCAAGAAGAAGGCCCCCGAGGTTAGAGTGGAGGGCCTAAGGCAGAATGGTAGGACATGAAAGTGGAAAGAGGTACAGGTAATGTAGTACTTTGTAAGTCAGGATGAGGAATTTAGATTCAGTACTTAGTAAGGTGGGAAGCCATCAGTGTATTTTAAGGGTTAAAAACACTGCTTGGTCACGAATTATGGATTAGAGGAAGGCAAGAGAAGATGGGATGGAACTGGGGGTAGGCAAGATGTAGGTTGGGGCAACTGTCCAGAACTGGGGTGGTAGTAATGGGGATGGAGAAAAGTGAATGGGGTTAGAAGGGGTTGAAACAAAGAAGGTATGGTGAAAGAAGCCAGGTGGGCAGGCAATTAAGATAAGTTTCTATGTCTAAGTAGGGAAAACAACACTTCTCCTACAGGAACTTTGGTTTGCATTCAAGCTGTTAAGGACCCTCACTTTTTAAAAAAACCAGTCTTCCCAAGTCACTGAGGACTTGGCTCATCTGTGCCTTCTGATCTCTAGAGATGTTTCCATAATCAAGGACTTGGATTTTTCACTCCCTTTGCTTTCTTTCTAGACAGGCTTCTTGGATATCAGGAGTGGGTGGTAGGTAACAGAGCATCCAAGGATAGCAAATTTGCTCTAAGGAACAATTGAGATAGTGTACACAGCCACATACCTGGGCAGTATCACAATTCAACAAGGAGAGGCAGGGAGGCTTAGTGCTTATTGTGCTCCAGGCCAGAAGTTTTACATATCAAATCTCCTTCCCTTCTTGTGAGAACTTGTGAGGTGCATTTTTTAAATACCAATTTTAGGGGGACCTGGGTGGCTCAGTGGTATAAGTCTCTGCCTTCGGCTCAGGTCATGATCTCAGGGTCCTGGGATTGAGTCCTCATTGGGCTCTCTGCTCAGCAGAGAGCGTGCTTCCCCCCCACCCTGCCTGCCTCTCTGCCTACTTGTGATCTCTGTCAAATAAATAAATAAATAAATAAAATCTTAAAAAAATAAAATAAATAACAGTTTTACAAAAGAGAGAGAGAGAGGTAGAAAGAGAGAGAGGCAGAGAGACAGAGACACTCAAATAGGTTATTTATTTTGCCCAGAGTCACACAACTTATAAGTGGTGGAGCCAGGACTGGAATCAGAATGGGGCTCTCTGTGGTCCCTACACTACTCCTGAATTGGAGTTAGTCTGTTTTCCTTCTTTTCTCATTACCACATAGATTCCATGAAGAACACATCCTGGGGAAGGCCATGGTTTCTCTTTGTTATGTTTACTATGTTTGCCTCCCCTAACCCACATAGTGCCTAGTAAAATGCTCAGCAGACAAACCTGCCTGGAGGCAACACCTCCTACTTCCTGCCACATACGGGGCTGGGGTGAAAGGCAAGGCAAGGCTGGTGAGGTGGATTGCTTTGCTGCTGTTGCTTCTGGTGCTTCTGTTGCTGCTGTTGCTGCTGCGGCTGCTGCTAGGGGATGGGGAGCGACTCTATTGCCTGTGCCTTGGCTCGAAGGCATTTTCCATTTCCTTGCCCCCTCCTCCTCCATCCCTCAGCTGTCGCCCCTCCGTTTCAGCTCAGGCCCCTAGGGGAGCGTCTCTTGCCGTGGGGCTGACAGCACTTGGGGAGCAGGGTACCTGGTCTCTCTACTCTAGCTCTGTGCGCAGAGCTTCGTTCGCGGACGCCTGGTGTCCAGCGGGCACTGATGTCAAGCGGTGGCGGAGCACTGCCTACAGACGGTTGACCTGGACCCTCCTCCACACCCACTTCCTTCATCGCCCCCTCCCTCTTGCCTGTACTTGGGCTCTGGCTCTCTATAAAAGGCGGGAGCGTGGGGTGCCACCGCAGTTCCGACTTTCAGCACCATGGAGAGCCCCCGTCTTCGTCCGCTGACCCTCTTGGGTGCCGCCCTGTTTTTGCTGCTACCTCTGCTCGGTGCCCGTGCCCAGGAGGAAGCTGAGCTCCAGCCCCGAGCGCTGGACATCTACTCTGCCGTGGAGGATGCCTCTCACGAGAAGGAGCTGGTGGGTAACTCCCGGACCCCCCTTGGCTGCCGCCCGGTCGCTTCCTTTGTACTCGTCCGTCTTCTTTCCCTCCTTCCCCACCCCCATTGCCAGAGTCGGGGTGCAGGGAGATGAACATAAAGCCCGCCTTCCATCCGAAACCGTCTGGCGTGCACTGCTTCAGCCAGTTTGTATAGTGAATCCCTTGTCCCGGGCCCTCAGAGCAACAGGAGCCTCAGTGACTAAGGGACTTGCAGTCAGTATGTGAGACAGTGCTTGCTACGTTAATACCCCTCAAACATCCCTTTCTGTCCCTGAAATCCCGGGTCGTAGTGTTTTTGGTTCCCAGGGCTCTTGTAGCTAGGGCTGGGAATGAGCCCCTGGTCTGGGCTCGCAGCCAATGCAGCAACTTCAGCTACAGGGCGGTGTGTTGCAGATCGAAGCGCTACAGGAAGTCCTGAAGAAGCTCAAGACTAAAAGTATTCCCATCTATGAGAAGAAGTATGGCCAAGTCCCCATGGTAAGGCTTTGGGGTCATCCCCTCCCCATGTTTCTCCAAGAGAAAATATATCACCTTGAGTCTTATACATTGACCTTCTTCCCTAGGACTTGGCTAAATCAGGTAGTGGTTTTATAGAAATCTGTGATCTCCCTTTTGTTTTCCACCACCAAACCATGCCCCTTGGTTTCTAAGGGCAAAAAGTAGAATGGCCATTTCAGAAGATCCAACAGCTGGTGCCAGGAACCAGCTCTTGGGTCTGTATGAAAAGGAGTGTTTCTTGAAGATGAGCTTTTTTTAATCTCATGAAAAATTCTCTGAATTGGAAAAGCCCTTAAATCTACTCAGTTCTTCTTCCCCCAGTTTTCTTCTTGCCGTTTGGAGCACTGCTAGTTTTTCTGATCTATGTTTTAAGGTTAAAATTCTTGATTCCCCACTTGTCACTTTCCTTGGGGAATTACACTTGTGCACACTACACACTACACACACACACACACACACACACACACACACACACTTCTTGGGATGAGAAGGCTGAAAGCAGGGAGCAGAGGCTGTGAGAAAATACAGTTCTATTTGTTTATTTCTTAGAAAAATGTCTGATTATTTTTCTTTTTGATAAACAGCTAAGGGAGCTAGAAAATGTAACTCCTCACCCCAAATAAAAGGTGGAATGAAGTAGGAGGGGTTCAATAAATTTTTTTTTTTAATGTTCTCTCACTGAAATTTTAAGGCTCTCTGTGTTTCAGGTCTGACCATACTTAGACCTCTGGTGATGGTGACAGGTTCCATCGATCTCTCCCAAGAGGCAGACATTGTGTTGATGGGGACATGTGCCTATTGGGAGCTGGGTTTGCTTATGTGGAAAGACCACACATTGTGTTGTTTTCAGTGCCACGCTGGGGAGCGGTGCGCCGTGCGAAAAGGAGCGAGGATTGGGAAGCTGTGCGACTGTCCCCGAGGAACCACCTGCAATTCTTTCCTTTTGAAGTGCTTGTGAGGTGTCCTCCCGCCTCCCTAAATCCCCACCACCCCAATTTCCCCTGCGAGGACCACACCCTCACCCCTGGAGTTTGCCTTTAGCAACAAAGTTTGCATTTCCCTCTGAGGGTTAAGGGGCTCTTTTCCTGCTGTTCCCAAATAAAAGAACACATTAGACGTTACTGTGTGAAGGATAATGCCTTGTATGGTGTTGATACATGTGCAAAGTATTCTTTTCTTATTCATCTGACACACTCCTACGTATCTTGTATCTTCCGGTAAAGAAGGGGAACTTCACTTTGAAAATTGTATTTTTGTATGTGATGTGGCAGGAAGAAAATTAGATTTAGTTTATCTTGGTAGATGACATCACAACCTGGAAGATGACCCCAAATGACACAAATTGCAGCATGTACAAATTATACATAATAAAGTGTTTTTAATAATTGCTCATACTGTGTTGTTTCTATGTCATAAGTAATTTGAGTAAGAATGATGGAATTAATCATGCTCTTGTTTTCAAAGAGAAGTATTTTTAAAATAGTCTATTGGGAGAACAACACCTTGGCTCTAAGGAGTTTTCATCATTAATTGGGAGTTTGCCACACAAGCATTGGCGCACTGTTTTTCTTTGATTGCAGTGGTGTGTGTGTGTGTGTGTGTGTGTGTGTGTGTGTTAGTTAACAGGAGATGGTTTGAATTGAGCTGATGGGATAGTGCTTATTAAACCCTTTAGTAGACTCCTTATTTTCACAGTGAGAACAATAAAATTTAAATTTTTTCAGATGTTAGCCCCATTAAAACCAGTTTAAAAAATTGGGATTTTTGTTTTGGCTACTCCTCTTTTAGAAAATATTCATTGATAAAAAATGGATTCTTTGGGGGCTTGTTTTTTGTCCAAAGGAAGGGAAATAGCTGCATTAGGTGTTTTAAGTTTGGGAGACCCACTCTTTCCCACTACTTAATATATAATCTTACATGGGGCACCTGGGTGGCTCAGTCTGTTCAGCAACTGCCTTTGGCTCAGGTCAGGATCCCAAGGTTCTGGGATCGAGCCCTGCAGCCGACTCCCTACTCAGTGGAGAGCTTGCTTCTCCCTCTCCCTCTGCCTCTCCTCCTGCTTGTCTTCAGTCCCTTTCTGTCAAATAAATAAATAAAATCTTTAAAATATATACACATGTATATAATCTTGGAAAAATAACCTGTTCAAAGGAAAAATGTCATTTTAGTAAACAGTTTCGAGGGGAACAAATGAAAATTGTTAGGTGGTAGATTCAACTCAAGAAATACAAAAATCTTAAATGTAAAGGTTAGTAGCCTTTAAATGTTTGAGTGTTTACCTGAGGTGACATTTCTAACGGCTTAAACCAGAATAAATAACATGTAAGAAGCAGACAAACAGATGAAACAGAAGAGACAAACAGATGTTTATGGTTTCCCAGTGCAAACTGCATAATATTAGTATTATTAGTATTAGTATTAGTATGGTTTCCCAGAGGCAACTGCATAATATTAGTACTAAAAAAGAAAGTCCCGGGGCACCTGGGTGGCTCAGTGGGTTAAAGCCTCTGCCGTCAGCTCGGGTCATGGTCGCAGGGTCCTGGAATCGAGCCCCGCGTCGGGCTCTCTGCTCAGCGGGGAGCCTGCTTCCCCCTCTCTCTCTGACTGCCTCTCTGCCTACTTGTGATCTCTTTCTGTCAAATAAATAAAAAAATTTAAAAAAAATGCAAATGTTTAAAAAAAAAGAAAAAAAAGAAAGTCCCTCCCCTGCTTCCTGGGGAGACAGATAATGCGGATAGAAAACATATTAATTCTTAATTGCTACTTGCAGTATTCTCATAGCTCCCTCAATAATCTTCAAAGATAGATACTATTACCATTTTCCAGAGAAGGAAGCAGAGGTCAAGAGAGATGATGGAAATCCTCTTGGTCAGGTCACATAATCCTAAATCCTGTTGTCAGCTCTAATCCTTCTGACTCCCAAAATTTATTTGTCTTTGCTTCCATATCACTCTGGGCAATTGAACAGATTGTTTGGACTCCCAAGTTCCCCAGAAAGCACTTCTTTCTTTAATAGAAATTAGCTCACTAGGGTGCTGATGTATTTTGCGGGGCGGGGGTGGGGGGTCACATTTCTATTTGAATTCCTCTTTGAGAGGCTTGGTTGTGATTGAAACGTGTTACATTTTAATCCTGAAAACCTTTAATGGTTCTTTAATGGTTTTGTTGTCTGCTACTTTTCCAGAAAATACATAAGTTAAAATCCTGAACTTCTTCTTGAGTCCCTTAACTGTTTTCATTCATGTCAGTCCTAAATAAATAAGATCAGGAAATGGCTTTAATCATTGATTAATGTACAGGCAGGACCCCGAAGGTAATACTGAGTAGTGCTTCCTATTGTAGCCTGGAATAGTTCCTCAAAAGGCAGAGATGCTGGAGGACTTTGTGATTCTAAGACAGGAATAAGAATTCTGCTCCAAACTTCTTTAACTTTGTCACCCCTACTTCAATGTCACCCCATGCTTTCTTGTTTCATTTGACTAAAGGTATGGACTTAGAGGGAATTGGTAATGAAGAATCTGTGGGCTGGGTATGAAAAGGCTTTTTACAAAATTTGGTCTGGGGATCCAGGTTTTAAGTTCATGGTGGTAATGATATTCTGTACTAATGATGGCAACATTTAATCTGAAGTGTCTTGGTAGAAGCAACTTTTCCTTCTCATTTTGTCAGCATTAGGCCTCCTTTTTATTTTATTTTTTTTCCTTAAAGATTTTATTTATTTGGGAGACAGGGAGATAGCACAGAGGGAGCAGGAGGAAGAGAAGCAGGCTCCCTGCTGAGCAAGAAGCCTGACACTGGGCTCCATCCCAGAACCCTGAGACCACGACCCAAGCCAAAGGTAGCTGCTCAACCCACTGAACCACCAAGGTGCCCCCAGATCTCCTCTTCAAATAGAGTGCCTTATTATGTTTAATGACTCAATGTCTCTGTGGTAGAGGATGAGAATGTTAAATATTTTAAGACTTTTAGGAAGAGAAGTAGTTATCCATGTGCAGTCACCCATATATGAGCCCCAGAGATCTTCTGAGATTGGCTGAAGGATCAGGGGTCTGAGAGTTGACAAGTATCTACATCTAAAGATCTGGTGAATGTTACAGGCATAGGAATGGTGTTTCTAGAGCACTGGTTCTCCCAGGGTCTAGAGGTGATAGATGAAAGTTACTAGAGGACTTTTGTCAACTAAACGTAACCACTGCCCTTCCTACAGTAATTGCTGATGTTTCACTCCTTACTCTTTGTTAGAATCTGGAGGCCTGTGAGGGACACATGCTATATCTAGGTACCCACACACCCTTCCCAAACCTGATAATGGTACATTGGATTCTGGTTATTGACAAAGATTCTGACCAGACTTGAGTCAGGCTCTTGAACCTCCTTCTGGAACTATCTGTGTACTTCCTTATAAAATCCAGTTTTAGTAAGAATCCTGATAAATCAGTTTATCAAGAGTCTCACATCCTTCTCATCTTCCACCATCCCCCAGGTGATGTCTAGGGACTCTGACCTGTCTTTAGCAAAGATCCTGTCAGGTTGGTTTATCTTGAATTTCCCTGACCCCTGATGTTTCCCATTAGTAATTTCCCATCCGCTTCTTGGCTATAAATTCTTACTTGCCCGTGCTATATTAGAAGCTGAGCCCCATTCTGTACTGAAGTCTCTTCTCATATTGCAGTAGTCTTGAACAAAATCTGTTTCTATGGCTATAATGACTGTCCAATGCTGGTTTTTCTTTGACAGTTAAGGGAGACTGTTTAGGATTGTGTAGTTTAAATAATATCTTCAGATTGTTCTGCAAAGCTTCCTACCCTAAATTACTGCAATCCTGACCTTGATTTATTATAGTCCCACTCATTCTACACTTTTTTGAGTGCCTTCCTTGTGCTGGGTATTGAGACATAATGAGACACAAGGTAGACATAATCCTTGTTCTTGAGTTTACAATCAAGTGATTTTGGTGAGAATAGATAATACACAAAAATTATAAGCCATAATACTATGAATTTATCTATCTATGAATTCTATGAATTTATGTTGACACGTTGAGGTCATGGACCCTTAGAAAATTAATACCAGGGGCGCCTGAGTGGCTCAGTGGGTTAAAGCCTCTGCCTTCGGCTCAGGTCATGATCCCAGAGTCCTGCTCAGCGGGGAGCCTCCTTCCTCCTCTCTCTCTGCCTGCCTCTCTGCCTACTTGTGATCTCTGTCTGTCAAATAAATAAATAAAATCTTAAAAAAAAAAAAGAAAAGAAAATTAATACCAGATAAGAAGAAATCCAAGTGGCTTTCCCAGGAAATAAGTCTTGGGCCCCCTCAGGTGTACACTTTTTGCCTTGCCCAGGTAGAATTTGCAGATGTTTGTTGATCAGGAATATCTCAAGGGAAAGCAAAAGTAAGGATGGTGGTGGTTCTGGCATTGGCTTTCAGTGTTCTTTATTTCAATGATGGATGGGTGGCTAAACAGAATTCTCTCTTGCCTGGCTAATGTGTGTTCATAATTCGTTTCACTTGCCTTTATAGATGTAGATGCTCTGTTCAGGGTCTCTAGGGGGTCTATTAGCACAACTATTTTGGCTTAAGAATAGTTTATGCAAATATTTCTTTCTTTCTTTTTTTTTTTTTTTAAAGATTGTGTTTATTTATTTGACAGAGATAGAGCAAGCAAGGGGAGCGGCAGGCAGAGGCAGAGGGAGAAGCAGGCTCCCTAATGAGCAAGGAGCCGGATGTGGGGCTCAATCCCAAGACCTAAAATCAAGACCTGAGCTGAAGGCAGACACTTAATGACTGAACTACCCAGGCATTCTTATGCAAATATTTCTAACTGGTGTTCCCTGAACTACTGAGAAGTAGAGCTACTGAGCAACAAGGAAGAGGTTAAACATTTAGAAGAAAGAGGAGGTAATTGGTGAAGGGAAGCTCTTGTCGTGAACAGGAGGATGGGATTCAGAGCATTCAGGAAAAAGCTTTGGGAAGGAAGAAGAGCGCATGATGTGTAAACATATACTGGACTTTAGTATGTGTGTTGGCAAACATTGGGGGTAGTTATTTCATGGCTTCTGTTTTTCAAGGGAAGTAGGATATAAACTCACCTGTTGAGAAGAAATTATCTATTTAATAATTAAATATACACAGTATAGAAACTGATGATAGCCTAACCTCTACTATAATATGACAGATTCATCATAAGACATGATACATTAGGTACTAGACAGAG